CTTCCAGTTCCACCTGAACTCAATAGGATTTTGAGAAAATCCATGTTAGACTGCGTGGACAAAAAGATGGCAGATGGGCTTCAGTGTAAATAAATATATTACCTAGGGACATCAGGGATGCATAATTTAATCCATACTTACACGATGCCAAAACCCAGAACTGTCACTTAAAACTCAAGAACTGCTCTGAAGTCATTAGCAGCAGCCTCAAAACAAACAAAACGCTGCCCATCATCAGAAAAGATACCCAGGACAAAAGCGGAAGCTTATTTTTGCAGCTGTTTTTGTTCTGTGTAAAAGCCTGACATTCGCTGTCTCAAGTGATGAGTGTGGTTCTGGCCTCTGTCTCTCAAGAAGGACATGAGAGTTTAGAGAGGGGCACCAGAAATGTGAAGATGGAGGAGATGCCTCATAAGGAGAAACTGGACAGGTTGAAACTCTTGCATCTGTACAGAGTAGTCTAAGAAGGATATGATTGAGGTTACAGAATCACCAGATTCATACCTGAACTTGGAGGCACTCACTGAAACCGCTGGGGGACTGATTCAGCAACTCCATCAGCAACGGACTGCAGAGAGAGTGCCTGGGGCTGCGTGATCTTCCTGTATTGCACCCTCTGCTGCCACTGTGGCAATCAAAGTCTTGGGCTAGAGAGACCACTGGTCTCAAAAAGCTTGGTATTAAGTTGTTAGCATAATTCTGGCAAGATATGTGTTTCGTAAGGGCAGTTCTTTGTATTTGTGTGCATCTGAATATAAACTCTTCCATCCAGGAATGGACCATACTATTTCCATTTATTTTGTTTTGAACGTACTTTAAAATCCTTTAAAATTTTCTGCTGCCTTCCTAGATTGGCTTTTTTCTTACTGTCTTTGGTTTCTTTTGCAAATTTTCTAGCCTTTCTGATTTCTAGTCGATATGGATTGATAATAGGTTCCTCTTTTTTATTCCCAGTTTGTTATGCAAGGTTTTAAAGTTTCACTTTGTCATTAAGATGCCTGTCTAACAGGAGTGCTAGGGATCACTGCTGAGAGGTGTTTATTTCTCCATTGCCCACCAAAGCATCTTAGATAAATAGCTCAGACTAAAAACCTAACTTTCAGGTGGCTGACCCTGGGTGAAATTAATTTGCCCCAACTACGTAAAATGCCACCTGGGATTATCCACTGTTTATTCATATAAGATGTAACTGTGCTGTAGCCACTGTTCCCTAGCCAAACACCAACTTTCAGTGGTGTGGATAATTCAGATTATTTCGTGTAAACCAGTACTGTAGTCTATGGGTGTATCCACAATTTTCTGATTTCCAGTTGCCAATAGTTTTAAAAAATTAAATGTCCTGAATATAGATTGGTACCGTACCGTAACATCATTATATCCTTTAAATATACTGTTTGCATTCAAGTCAAGGTAAATATTTGCATTGGGAATACCGACTGCTGCAAGACTAAGGAGGTACGCTCCTTTTTTTCTGTTCCAATTAATCCTATCTGAAGAGATTGGCCATATTATATGAAGACCCCCATGTATAGTGTTCCACAGAGCCAAAACCCTAATTTTTTTCACTGGTTGTGCAGCCCACCATTCATCTCAGGTATTTTATTTCTTCTCTTGTTTGTGGGCCTAAAAAAGGCCACCAAGAAGATCATTTAGAGTTTCCTTCTCTTCAGTTCCTTCCAAAATCCTTTAAGTCCTCTATAATTGGTTCCAGTGTATAGCACCTTCATCTGTGAGATGACAGATGACTTGCTTCATATTCTTCATTCAAACTTTCTGTTAGATTTCCTACTTTTGGTCTATGGAGACTTAATTTCTTTCATTGTCCTCATTTCTTTCCAGCTGTCACTTCCTGATTTCATTAAGACTCTTTAGACTGCATTTTTGGCAATCACAGGGTCACTAAGAAGGACTTTACAAAAGGTATTAAAACTTTTGAAACCCTCAAGGCAGATGGGTCTCTCTTGAAACCTTGTGATTTATTCTGCAGAAGAAGCAGAATAAGCAAGCCCCTGGAGTAGAAGCAGGGGTTAGTCACTGTAAGAGAAAACCAAATCCAAACAGTTCTTTTAATGAGCACAGGAGACTTAATGTATGTCTTCATTGTTTGAGATAACACACTTTTACTTCTGAGCAGATCACGTAGCTTTTACTGGCTATTACAGAGATGTAGTTCGTTTTCTGGGCAGTATTTATGAGAAAGAAAGTGAAGTAATTTTATATATTATATTTATTTATGCATTAGATCTATGTGTTTATTTAATTTCAGGTGTAGCAGCCTGAAAAGAGAAAGCATCCAAATATCTGACAACCCGTTATGGTATTCTCAATTCATAAATATCCAAAGCAAGAAAAGTCACTTTCAGAGCAACTTGATAAACTTATTACAAGCTGATACTTCAGCAATTTTCAAGGAAATACCGTCTCAATATACTATCTATATTGCATAAATATCCAACAGTACCATCAGTACCTTTATAATGTACACAGCCCGACAGATTGCATCTTTAAGGCAAGCCATGAATCTCTTTTGAAAGTGAAGGAATATTCCAGAATATGTAATATATAGCATAAGAGAAGATTATTTTTGGTTTCTGGTAGAATTTCCTAATTGAGTCCATGTCCAGAAGTAACTGAATTTGATCCATGTTGGAAACAAAGGAAAATCATTGACTGTAGGACTTGCCAGTAATTAATTAGACCAACAAGCCACACACACACAACGTCTCTCAGTTCAGGGCAAGTTATTCCTTTGTGCCTCATGCCATCAAGTCACAGTTGCATGAGACTTCATGGAGTAATACAGAGGACATCTCTTAGCCCAGTGGTGGTCAATTTATATTCTGAAACTTGTTACTGATTGCACTTTTAAGTTAAAGGTAATGGTGAAATGGGTCATAAAATTGTCCAGCTTTTAAAAATAAATAGAAGGAAATATATGACTATCTGTCCAGTTGCAGTAACAACAGAGGTCAACAGATTTTCAGTTGTCATAGATGAACAACTGGGGCTGAGGTATGACAATTTACACAAGTTCAGTCGCTGGATCCCTATGGTAGATTTTCCTCCTAACTTGTCTCATTGTGTAGCTGAACGGTGCATAACAGATGTTGCTTTGAGCAAAGAAACAATCGTTGAAAAAACTTCATCAATATTTCCTAAAGCAGTTTCAGCCTTGGGTTTCTGCAGGATGGGAGCCTCAGAAGGCGTTTGGCTTCTTGTCACTGTAGTCTCTCCATAACTGATCTCTATTAATACTGTATGGTACAGTGGAAACCTATCTCGTATGATATAGCTGTCCAGCTGTGCTGCCTCCAGACCGTGTTTCTTCTTGAAATCATGATACAAAGAGGCCTGAATCTGATGACAGAGCATTGATTTGCTCAGGTGTTGCACCCAGGAAAGGGCATCACCAATGTACAATGAGACGTGGTGTTCTTTCCTGAGGGTCCTCGGGCCATGGGAACTGCAGCGTAAGGCAAACTCTGCCACATTCACTGCACAGTGAGTGTAACAAAATGACAGGTCTCATTTGATAGGTCTCAGAAAGTCTGCCTGAACCAAACTGGGGAATCTTCTCTAAACCAATGCCAGAACCAAAGTATCATTTAGAAATAATAATCTGACAAGCTTAGGCTACGCAGAATTTATTGACTGTAAGTGGTTTGGTTTAAGCCAAAACCTTCAGTCACATGTAAGCCTGCTGTATTTGCTCTGTTACTACTCTGGTGAGTAGCGCTTGTTAATATCAACTGCTGCTCCCCTAAACTTGCAGATGAGGACTGTAGACATTGGGTTGAATAAGGCCTTGCTATTACAGGCTGAAGTTCTTCTCTCAGGTTCCCACCATTAAGATAATTATTTTCATGATGTTTGAGAAATGCCATCCAGAAAAAACGGATGGTGTAACAGGCACGTTTTATCTGTTTTTTTATTTGAGCTCTGGAGGAGCTCAGATCAATAACATCAATACGTGGACTGTGGCATGTATTTTATCAGTAACAGTGCTTCAGTTTGGTTTGTCAAGACAGTGATGGCAAAGAAACTGCCTGTTCCAGTGCAAATTCTGTTTCCCCTGAAGCCATTCTAATATTCACTTTACATCACACAGGAAAGTACAACTAATAGAAAAGAGGTCAAAGTCAGACAAAGTAAGTGAATCAAGCTGTCTTACATTAGATTTCTGGGTATGCCTCATGGACACAGGTAGGTGACAGCGGCTGGTTCATGCAGATTTGTTGTCAATTTCAATTGACCTTAAGAGGTGCATAGTTGCCTTTTATTTGTAAAAACACAGTTAAGGAAAATTGGTTTTTAGCAGGTCCTTTGCTACAACTGCACTTTGAAGCATTGTGTGGAACTGTCTTTAAAACTGGTAGCATTCAACATTGCTGGTTTGAGTCAGACTTTGCATGAACATGCGTATGTGTCTATGTATATATGTCTGTGTAAGATTTACCTTAATTTTCCTTTTTCATTAATGTAATCTTCAAATGCAAGAGCAAAAAATGAGGATGTGACTGCGTCCACAGTGTTTGTATTGTATGAATAAGCCATTAAGCCCAAATTCAGCTCTCGGTTCCAGTGGAGATACTGTATTAGATGAAATTGTCAGTTGTGCTTGGATCCTCTAAGTCTTCTCAACTCTGTGATAGGTTTAATCCACTGATCCATGTTTGAATGCAATCCCCCCTCATTTTCAACATAATTCTGGCATGATCATCTGGGAGAAGTCTGCAAAAGCTTTTCCAGTGGCTCTTAGCCAAGATCCGTTTTCGTTTATACCTGTATGTCTTGTTAATGTCAATTGCTTTGCAAAGATTAAATCACTGTCTAGGTTCTTGTATGTAAGTTCTTCACAAGGAGTGAGCTGGACCTTTGGAGTTCAATGAATATTGGGGTTACAGCGTGTTTTTGCTCATTGTAAAAACTGATATTGCAAGCATCTGAATGAATCAGACTACATTGCTACCTTGTGTCTTTCATCTTTCTGTTCTGTATAGGAGAAATGGGGGACAAAGGACAGAAAGGCAGCATGGGACGGCACGGAAAAATTGGTCCTATTGGTTCAAAAGGTATGCTTAGTTCAATTGTTTCTCCATTTGTGTTTCAGATGAAAATTCTGTGATGATTTGTGTTTGAGAAGAGTTTAGTGGCTTGAAAAATGGTTAGCAAGTCTCAGAGTTTACCATAATAGAGTTTCTCAGACTGTAGTCAGACAGATGACTGAGATCTCTCAGCCAGTCACCTTTCGCTCTGACAGGAGCACATTTAGCCTCAAAACAGGGTGAGAAACCTGGTTTAAAGCTAAATAAAGAACTTTGTGCACCATCACACAAGTGCGGGCAGTTGAGAGAAGCAGATGGGAAGATGCACTGTACTTTGGCAGACATTTAGGAACCAGAAGACTTGAATTCTGATCTTGCCTACCCCATAGGCTTTCTATGTGAATTTGGTTAAATCATTGGGACCAATGTTTACTTAAGCATCTAGATTATGAATCTCAATTTAGGCACGAGCATAGCATATCCAGCCCCTTTCTCTCTGCAGCATCTGAACTTATTGGTTCTGTGGAGTTCATGAATGTCAAAAAATGGATATCGGTACATATTCTTTGTGTTCAACTTTCATAGTTTTGGCTGGCCTTTGTTGTGGAATGGCAAGGACAGGAAAAATCTTTATTTTTGCTAGGGCATATTTCTACTTTACACATTAGAATGTTACTAGAGAAAAAGTAAACAAGAGCTAAATGAACTGTTGACCAAAAAAGTTGCCTTAAATTTATATTCTTTTTCATGTTTTCAGGTGAAAAAGGAGATAATGGTGACATAGGACCACCAGGTCCTAATGGTGACCCAGGTAATCTATGATACACCTTGTGTATGTGAAAGATTTTGCAAGATGCATGCATCATCACCAAAAATATATATCTGTTTACATACTGGGGGAAATAAATGAAAAAATAAATATTTGCATACGCACTGTAATATTTCACCGTAATATTTTCAAATTACTTAAAATTATTGAAGCTGCAGTGTTTTTGGGACTTGTAGTGTATTTGTCAAAACAGTGTCTCAGAGCACCTCAGAGGTGTGATCACGCTGCGGATTAGTGGGAACCGAAGTGCAAAGGGATAACTCTGCATATCCCACTCTGCCTTCCAGCCAACACAAAGGAGCAGGTTGGAAGCTCCTGCCCCTCCATCAATTATTGCTATAGAGCAAAAGATTACCAGGAATAGAGATCTTCCAGAGAAAAAGGTGAAAGCCTGGCATAAGAAGCATAAGCCTTACAAAAGTGGCAGATTCAGATTTTGCCCAATTTGTCTTTTCCTGGCAGGGTACACAAAATTGCACCAATTAGTTTTCTCATGAGAACATAATTTGTCACTCTTAATTCTTGAGCCAGAGTACCATATACCTTGTCATCTAGCACAGTTTTTCAGTGTAAGTAAGTACCCCGTGCTTAGACTGACTTACACACCTAAGCTGAGTAATTGAGGAGTCAAATGTAGATTTGAATAATTGCACACAGAACTGGAAACTCTAATTGATCCTCATTTGGAGATTCGAGCTCATAGATGTAACAATTATCTTTTTAGTATTCTCATTCAGATTATCTTTGTCAAATCAATATCAATTTGGGGTAATAGATGGTTTTCTATTGTCTTATTTTATTGGAAGAGGTACAGTAAATTCTGTACTTTCAAAAGTACAGAACTATGTTGTGCAGGTAATTATGTGCATTACATAGTTGGAACATTAGCCTTTTGGATCTGCTGTGTTATGTTCCTTGTGAGGAACAGGCGAACAATGAGCTGTGCGGATTTTTGCTGTGGAAAAATTGCTCTTTAGAGAAGACTGAAGAGAATAATTTAACTCAAAATGGGAAATTTTGACAAATGTTATCAGTTAAAAAAAAATCTGGTGTTGTTTTTTTTTTTTTTTTAAGCAGAGAATATCTGTCAGTGTTTAGGTTAGCACTAATCATGCAGGGCTGAAGCTTCATGTGAAGTGAACTGAGCTGTTCTGGATAGTCCCAGACACCCGTAAGAACCATGTGATGGTGCAGGGTAGCAAAGGCTGTGGGTTTCTGACCATTATTTGCAAGGCAGGTCTCCTTCTCCAGGACTGCCAGGCTTTTTTATTTTGGTGTGTCTGTGTTATTTCACAGGCATCCCTTGTGAGTGCAGCCAGCTAAGGAAGGCTATTGGTGAAATGGATATCCAAGTGGCCCAGCTGACAACGGAACTAAAATTCATAAAAAATGGTAGGTTAATTTTATATAAATTTTTTCCTTTCTCATTGCTGCGTTTTACCGGTGGAATTGCTCGTAGAGAGCATCACCGTCCCGCCATCTGATTTGTGAAGTTATTTTGGGGTATACAGTGAGTTGGTTTATAGAAATGCGAGTGCTCACTTTTCAGCACTGCCCTCCCCCGCAGCTGTTGCTGGTGTGCGTGAGACAGATAATAAGATATATCTGCTGGTGAAGGAAGAGAAAAGATACAAGGAAGCCCAGCTCTACTGCCACGGAAGAGGAGGGACGCTGAGCATGCCCAAGGATGAGACTGCCAACAATCTGATTGCCTCGTACATCAACCAAGCCGGGCTCACCAGAGTTTTCATTGGGATTAACGACCTAGAGAAAGAGGGAAATTTTGTCTATTCTGACCGGTCACCCATGCAGACCTTCAACAAATGGCGCAGTGGGGAGCCCAACAATGCCTATGACGAAGAGGACTGTGTGGAGATGGTGGCGTCTGGAGGGTGGAATGATGTTGCGTGTCATATTACCATGTATTTTGTGTGTGAATTTGACAAAGAAAATGTCTAAGCTTGTCTGCTCTTTCTTTATTATAAGAAAAGGTTTTAAGCTGATTGTACAAGTTACCCTATGTTTATAGAGTACAAGTGATATTTTGCAAGTGTGTGGCATCAGTGTTGTACAGCTGTAAATACAATTCAGGTATTTCAAATATCAGTATTTACCCTTCAGAAGGGAAGAGCAGTAATAAGACATAGGTTGTTTTTTCTGTAGGAAAATATATGTATTTAGATAAAAATGTGGTTTGGGGCTAAATTCTGTCCTCACAACAGGTAACAAATGCAATTGCATGACTGTATGGGAAGGCAGAATTTGGGCTCTAGTTGTTAGAATGATTATTTCTGAAGAATTTGATTCCTGATAGTCTTTTATCTTAGCAAAATTTGTAGTTCTAAATGTTAATTGCTTGTAGTGCTACAGGGATATTTCAGCAACAAGGCAAATATTTTGTATACTCCAATTAATAAGTACAAATATTACTGTAAGTTTTTTGGATGTTGAAGGCGTTACAACTTCTTTTTTGAAAAATAGCCAAAGCAAACCAACAAATCGGGAATCCCACCAATTTTGTAATGTTTCTTTATTAAACTCTTCACAGATGTATGACAAGGAGACACTTAAGTAAACCGAGTTTTAGTGCTGAGGGAGAACAGAGTTCTCATAATTTAGTACTGAAAGAAGGATCCCAGCCAGATGGGTGTTTTGGGGTTGGCTAAAGGTAAAGTAAGATTTTGTTTTTCTGCATTCTTTAGCTGAGAATGATTCAGTGCCTGAACTATTCAGTGCCTGAATAATTTCTTAAAGTAAACGCATTTCACATTTGTATAAGATAATCTTGGTGCATCTTGTTACAAAACAAACAAAATACCAGCACTCCACAATGTAAGGCAGACTTCATAAATAGACAATGAATCTCGTAAAAATAGTTTAGCTAGTAGTTCCTTTTGGTAGGAAAACATCTTACATGTTTACTCAGATTGCAAGCATGACCAGAAAAGCAGCAAAATTTTCCAAAATTTTCCTGATTGTTTATATAGCAGTAATAACTAATTTTGCAAAAACAATTTATGTACCCAATTTACAATTGCATGTGATGGAAAATGTGATGTATATTTAAAAAAACAAAAAACTTAATTTCACAACGGAAGTGGTGAATTACTTTGGGTCTTCCTAGGAGCCAGTTACCTGACATCAAATCTTGCTGTTATGCATAGAAAGAAGACTGCAAAATGTCTGTCTGTGTTTTTTCAGGAATACCTTGCACAGTGTTTTAAGATGATTTTTAAGCAGAAATGGTCCTTTGTATAACATTGTAATCAAAATACGCATCTGATCATTATGGGAGATTGGTCTACAGGATATCCACAGTGGATCTGACATGTGGTCCCAGAGATTTCCCTACGTCAAGGCAAGACCAACTCATATCAACTTTGCAGTGCTGTGGTATATGAACAGTCAATGACCATACGATTCTGTTCATATCCACGGAGTCTGACAATATTTGATGTGATGCTGTTATTATATGCACAGGAAAACAAACCATTTTACTCCCTATATTTACTCTGTGAATTTGAATCCATTATATGTATATGTTTGCTGTTAATTTTGAAGATCAGCAACAAATTCCTATGGTATTTGAATATCAGCCCAGCTCCAGAGCAACCACTCTAAGAAACAAATGGTCTTTTGATTGCTTTACTTTCTAGTAAAGGTAGGTATGATTCCTGTATGTTAGACGTTCTTCCAGCTGTATGCTGAAATCTATTAAATAATGTGGATATTCAGATTATTAATGTGGATATTCAAATTATTCAAATAATGTGGATATTAAATAATGTGGATAATATTCAAAGACTCTTTACAGAATTTGCAGGGAGATAAAAATTCCAGTAGAGCAATTTGTTTGGTTAGAATAGTGCCTTTTGAATGTCATGATTGTTTCCTGCCTGCTATAGAAATCCTCAGAAACTGTTTAAATCTCCAACATACTTTTGTCAAATCATTGCAGCTATATTAAAACAGTCCAAACCTGAATTACAGGTATCTGGAGCTCCCTCATTGTGTATGTGCTAAAGTTGCTAACTGTTTATTTTTCACCCAGGTTTTGAAAGTCTCTGTTGTAATGTTCGATTTCCTCAGAAATGTGAAAAGAGGCCTTTTGGGGAGGTCGGAAGCTTTTTCAGATGTCAAACGCTGCTATTTCAGTTGGAAGTCACACTGCATTTATAAAGATTGCCTTGATGTGTAGAGCATTTAGGCAGTCTCAATTTCTATTAAAATTTAAGATGAAAAATAAAGGTAATGGAAAAAACATTTATTTCCCCCAGTTTTTGTGTTCTTCAGGACATGTTTTTGCAGCTCTTGATATACGATAGAAAGGAAATTAGTCGTATTGTCAGAGCTGTGTACATTGGCTGCAACAGTCTCCTTATTTTCCCATTAGGGCAAGGGGAACAAAGCTGGTGTGTAAGGTCTGTAGCTGCCTTGCAAGGACAAACTTGCATGGTGAGACTTTGTTCTGGGTTTGCATGGCAAGGTGTTGGTAGCATGGGGGGCTACAGGGGTGGCTTCTGTGAGACACCAGAAGCTTCCCCTGTGTCTGACAGAGTCAATGCCAGCCGGCTCCAAGACGGACCCACCACTGACCAAGGCTGAGCCCATCAGCGATGGTGGTAGAGCCTCTGTGATAACATATTTAGGAAGGGGGGAAAAAAACTGTGCAAGAGAAAACTGCAGCCAGAGAGAGGAGTGAGAAGAAACAACTCTGCAGACACCAAAGTGAGAGAAGAAGGAGGGAGAGGAGGTGCTCCAGGTGTGAGAGCAGAGATTCCCCTGCAGCCCATGGTGAAGACCACGGTGAGGCAGGCTGTCCCACTGCAGCCCATGGAGGTTAATGGTGGAGCAGATAGCTACCTGCAGCCCGTGGAGGACCCCACGCCAGACCAGGTGGATGCCCAAAGGAGGCTGCGACCCTGTGGGCAGCCTGCAGTGGAGCAGGCTTCTGGCAGGACCTGTGGGCCCGTGGAGAGAGGACCCCACTCTGGAGCAGGTTTGCTGGCAGGACTTGTGACCCCTTGGGGCACCCACACTGGAGCAGTCTGTTCCTGAAGGACTGCACCCTGAAGAGTCATCCCCCTGCGGAGGAAGGAGTGACAGAGGCAACGTGTGATGAACTGACCACAACCCCCATTTCCCGTCTCCCTGCACCGTTCGGGGAGAGGAGGTAGAGAAATCGTGAGTGAAGTTGAGGCCGGGAAGAAGGGAGGGGTGGGAGGAAGGTGTTTTAAGGTTTAGTTTTATTTCTCATTATCCTGCTCTGATTTCATTGGTAATAAATTAAACTGATTTCCCCAAGCTGAGTCTGTTTTGCCCATGGTGGTAATTGCTGAGTGATCTCCCTGTCCTTATCTTGACCCAGGAGCCTTTTGTTATATTTTCTCTCCCCTGTCCAGCTAGTGAGGGGGAGTGATAGAGCAGCTTCGGTGGGCACCTGGTGTCCAGCCAGGGTCAACCCACCACAGATTTCCATTACTGTCAGTGGAGTATGAAGCTACTGTTTTAGGAAAAAACTCAAACGACAAGTTAGTTTTATTTGGGGTATTTTCCATGTGCATTAAAACCTGCATTGTAGTATCATTACTCATTTTGTGTGGCTCTACAGAAGCCTTTGGAACATATTTGTCTGGCAAGCATGCACTGAGGTTTCCCAGACCTTTCTTATATGTTTTACTTTTGATGGATGATTTTTCCTCATAAATATTTCCATAATATATAGACATAATTCTTAATTAAGAGGCATGTTGGTGTGCTTCAAGAAGGCAACAGTAACAGCATTTTTTTTTGTATAGTCACCCATTCATCCTCTTGAATGACTTCTTCACATAAACTCCGTATTTCATTCAACTATATTCTGTACCTTTAGATAATAAGGCTGTGTTGTAGTATTATTGGTGTCAGGGACAGATGTGCATTGCCCCTTCCAGGAGATGAATTGGCAAAGGTACGGCATTTAGCTGGCTGAGTCCAAAGGGAGCTCCTTTGCTGGCGAGAGCCCTGCATCACTGTGGACTTCCCAGGAGATCACTGGACAATGTCTGACCCTGATCACCACCTGGATTTGCCACTCTGCATCCTGGCTCCTTGGTGGAAGGTGTTGCTCCCACTTGCCTTGTTATCCTGCTTGCCATCCCTTATGGACCAGCTTGTCCTCACTGTGCCCCGATAGCTGACCTGATTATCCCTGGAAATACAGTTTCATGACAGGTTGCAGGTTAGGTGCAGAATTTCTCACTGGCTGTGAGTTTTAAACTACTTTAAGACACAGGACAGAATTGTAAAAATTAATATTTATACATGGGATAATAGAGCATCCTTACTTATGTAAGTAAAATGGAGTGCTTCATTTTTCATAGCTCAGTAAATGGCAGTTCAAATATGCATTACAAAATAGCAGTTGGTTGGACTTTTTGTTACATTTTTTGATGAAAAGTAGAATAAGATGAAATTAAAATAATTTTTATTGTAAAACATGATGAACGTTCAGAATGGACAAAGAAGTTTTGAAGCAGACATTTTTTAAGATGTTTCCTTTTGGAATTTTTCAGAATTTCACTTCTGAGTTTTGAAGCTTCATTTTGACTAATAAAGGGATTTGATTTTTATGTTGTTGTTAATGTATTTTATATCATGTCAGTAACAGCATTCAGTATAATGCTTGAAATATTTTACTTTATTCTTTATGTCTTAATTTCCAATTGGAACAAGTTATCTTTTTAAGAGTACTGTTGTTTGCCATAGTGGAAGAGTTTGACACTTGAATTGGTTTCTCCTTGGTGTGCTATGGCACTGTAAACACTCTGAATACAAGCAATAGATAGTTCAACCAACATTAAGTAGAAGATATTAATACAGATTATGAAAATGACTCATTTAAGTATTATGCCATAAAACTAGCAGTTTATGCACTACTACAAGACTCCAATCATTAAATAATACGAAACAAATACAAGCATTTTAAATATGAAAGTCTTACCAATGTAATTTCATC